CACCAGACAGTCTTCCCCTTCCAGGGGAACAAAGGCTTACTAGATCCACTGGCTGGGTGCCATTCCAGGTAGTCTTCCTAATGAGGTGGTGGGTATGGGAAACTAGGCCCACCCACTACTCCAGGTTCCAGTCCAGGGATCCTACAATCAGCAGCTACGTTCGGCACTATCTCAATCCTTGTTACCATACCCCTCAGCTTCTCCCTATTTCACCCTCTACAGCTAAGCTAATATAGAGAAGCCACACAAGTAAATATGGCAGGCGACCAGCTTGGCTTAACGGTGAAATCCTAGCGGATCTTAAGCATAAAAAAGAAGCTTACAAGAAGTGGAAGGTTGGACATATGACCAGGGAAGAGTATAAAAATATTGCTCGGGCATGTAGGAATGAAATTAGGAGGGCCAAATCGCACCTGGAGCTGCAGCTAGCGAGAGATGTTAAGAGTAACAAGAAGGGTTTCTTCAGGTATGTTGGCAACAAGAAGAAAGCCAAGGAAAGTGTGGGCCCCTTAATGAATGAGGGAGGCAACCTAGTGACAGAGGATGTGGAAAAAGCTAATGTACTCAATGCTTTTTTTGCTTCTGTCTTCACGAACAAGGTTAGCTCCCAAACTGCTGTGCTGGGCATCACAACATGGGGAATAGAAGGCCAGCCCTCTGTGGAGAAAGAGGTGGTTAGGGACTATTTAGAAAAGCTGGACGTGCACAAGTCCATGGGGCCGGACGAGTTGCATCCGAGAGTGCTAAAGGAATTGGTGGCTGTGATTGCAGAGCCATTGGCCATTATCTTTGAAAACTCGTGGCGAACGGGGGAAGTCCCGGATGACTGGAAAAAGGCTAATGTAGTGCCAATCTTTAAAAAAGGGAAGAAGGAGGATCCTGGGAACTACAGGCCAGTCAGCCTCACCTCAGTCCCCGGAAAAATCATGGAGCAGGTCTTCAAAGAATCAATCCTGAAGCACTTAAATGAGAGGAAAGTGATCAGGAACAGTCAGCATGGATTCACCAAGGGAAGGTCATGCCTGACTAATCTAATCGCCTTCTATGATGAGATTACTGGTTCTGTGGATGAAGGGAAAGCAGTGGATGTATTGTATCTTGACTTTAGCAAAGCTTTTGACACGGTCTCCCACAGTATTCTTGTCAGCAAGTTAAAGAAGTATGGGCTGGATGAATGCACTATAAGGTGGGTAGAAAGTTGGCTAGATCGTCGGGCTCAACGGGTAGTGATCAATGGCTCCATGTCTAGTTGGCAGCCGGTGTCAAATGGAGTGCCCTAGGGGTCGGTCCTGGGGCCGGTTTTGTTCAATATCTTCATAAATGATCTGGAGGATGGTGTGGATTGCACTCTCAGCAAATTTGCAGATGATACTAAACTGGGAGGAGTGGTAGATACGCTGGAGGGCAGGGATAGGATACAGAGGGACCTAGACAAATTGGAGGATTGGGCCAAAAGAAATCTGATGAGGTTCAATAAGGGTAAGTGCAGGGTCCTGCACTTAGGACGGAAGAACCCAATGCACAGCTACAGACTAGGGACCGAATGGCTAGGCAGCAGTTCTGCGGAAAAGGACCTAGGGGTGACAGTGGACGAGAAGCTGGATATGAGTCAGCAGTGTGCCCTTGTTGCCAAGAAGGACAATGGCATTTTGGGATGTATAAGTAGGGGCATAGCCAGCATATCGAGGGGACGTGATCGTCCCCCTCTATTCGACATTGGTGAGGCCTCATCTGGAGTACTGTGTCCAGTTTTGGGCCCCACACTACAAGAAGGATGTGGATAAATTGGAGAGAGTCCAGCGAAGGGCAACAAAAATGATTAGGGGTCTGGAACACATGAGTTATGAGGAGAGGCTGAGGGAACTGGGATTGTTTAGTCTGCGGAAGAGAAGAATGAGGGGGGGATTTGATAGCTGCTTTCAACTACCTGAGAGGTGGTTCCAGAGAGGATGGTTCTAGACTATTCTCAGTGGTGGAAGAGGACAGGACAAGGAGTAATGGTCTCAAGTTGCAGTGGGGGAGGTTTAGGTTGGATATTAGGAAAAACTTTTTCACTAGGAGGGTGGTGAAACACTGGAATGCGCTGCCTAGGGAGGTGGTGGAATCTCCTTCCTTAGAAGTTTTTAAGGTCAGGCTTGACAAAGCCCTGTCTGGGATGATTTAATTGGGGATGGGTCCTGCTTTTGAGCAGGGGGTTGACTAGATGACCTCCTGAGGTCCCTTCCAACCCTGATATTCTATGATTCTAAGAGGTTCTAGCAAACCAAACCTTTAACTTGGTCGGAAACCCCTCTGACTGCACCAACCAGTTGCATTTCCTGGTGTGTGCTCCTATAAGAGGCCAGTCCTCTACACTCAGTCCTTGCAAACCTGCTGAGAACGTAGTGGGAGAAAAACATTAGCCTGAACAACTATGTAGAGAATCTGAAAGAAATCCCATGCACTGATGTGCTTTTCAAGGTTGTAAATAAAGCCATAACACAATAGTTTCAGGCCTCACCAGCCACACTACAGACCCGGTTGTTAGAGAGAGCCTGAACTGACTGAATCACTGTGCTGACTAGCAGCCTAAGTGTACCGTATTGCTATGCTGTCATCCCCAGAAGAGGAAGGAGCCCAGGGAGCAGTATAGCAGCACTGGACCCCATGCAGCTGTTCCTGCCCTCTGCCGTTACCTCGAGATCTATGACTTTTAGGAGGGGGAGATTTTACAAATTCATCCCTGGTGGGAAAATTGGGGGAAATTGCAAGTGGAAACTCCTCCAAGAGAAAACCTGTATAGAGAGCATGCATCTCATCTAATTGTGATGGGGTGTTCACCCCATGCCACCCCTGAAGAGGTTCAGGTGGCTCAGAAGGGGTTAATTCCCCAGGTGCAGTGTACTGGGGTGAGACTTAGGCTTGATTGTTGTCATAAATATAAAGGGAAGGGTAAACCCCTTTGAAATCCTTCCTGGCCAGGGGAAAGCTCCTCTCACCTGTAAAGGGTTAAGAAGCTAAAGGTAACCTCGCTGGCACCTGACCAAAATGACCAATGAGGAGACAAGATACTTTCAAAAGCTGGGAGGAGGGAGAGAAACAAAGGGTCTGTGTGTCTGTCTATATGCTGGTCTTTACCGGGGATAGACCAGGAATGGAGTCTTTGAACTTTTAGTAAGTAATCTAGCTAGGTATGTGTTAGATTATGATTTCTTTAAATGGCTGAGAAAAGAATTGTGCTGAATAGAATAACTATTTCTGTCTGTGTATCTATTTTGTAACTTAAAGTTTTGCCTAGAGGGGTTCTCTATGTTTTTGAATCTAATTACCCTGTAAGATATCTACCATCCTGATTTTACAGGGGGGATTTCTTTATTTCTATTTACTTCTATTTTTATTAAAAGTCTTCTTGTAAGAAAACTGAATGCTTTTTCACTGTTCTCAGATCCAAGGGTTTGGGTCGGTGGTCACCTATGCAATTTGGTGAGGCTTTTTATCCAACATTTCCCAGGAAAGGGGGGGTGCAAGTGTTGGGAGGATTGTTCATTGTTCTTAAGATCCAAGGGTCTGGGTCTGTAGTCACCTAGGCAAATTGGTGAGGCTTTTTACCAAACCTTGTCCAGGAAGTGGGGTGCAAGGTTTTGGGAAGTATTTTGGGGGGAAGGACGCGTCCAAACAGCTCTTCCCCAGTAACCAGTATTAGTTTGGTGGTGGTAGCGGCCAGTCCAAGGACAACGGGTGGAATATTTTGTACCTTGGGGAAGTTTTGACCTAAGCTGGTAAAGATAAGCTTAGGAGGTTTTTCATGCAGGTCCCCACATCTGTACCCTAGAGTTCAGAGTGGGGGAGGAACCTTGACAATTGTCAAGCACTAATTGAAGATCAAGCCCATCTGGGCAGGAGTAGTTGGGGGGCTTGTATAAAGCCAGGAAGTGAAAGCAGAAGAAGGCTGTTGTGTGGTGGTCTGCCGTTGCTTTCTGGGGCAAGTGACGAGAGGAGGAAACCTGGTGGGGAGAAAGCAAAGTGGGAACCCTAGGATCCTGATCCTGTGGGAAGGGTAAACCCAGAGGAGAGGTGGAAAAGGAAGGAAGTTTATCACAACTCTTGCAATACTTGGTGTTTGGCTTAAAGCCCAGCTCCCAGAGTCGTGAGTAAAGGGTCTAGGACAGGGACAGGCAAACTTTTTGGCCTGAGGGCTGCATCGGGTTTCTGAAATTATATGGAAGGCCGGTTAGGAGAGGCTGTGCCTCCCCAAACAGCCAGGCATGGCCTTGCCCCCGCCCCCTATCTGACGCCCCCCCTGCTTCTCGCCCCCTGACGGCCCCCCCAGGACTCCTGCCCCATCCAACCCCTCCTGTTCCTTGACAGCCCCCTGGCGACCCCTGCCCCATCCACCACCCCTACTCTCGGTCCCCTGACCGCCCCCAGACCTCCTGCCCATAACTGCCCCCCGCCGCCCCATCCAATGGCAATAGTGTGATGGCCAAAAGTTTGAGAACCGCTGGTTAAGAGAACTAGCTTGTCACCTAGGGAGACACTTATGATTTTTTTAGACTTAATTAAAATTGCTGTCAAAACCTTTTGGCACATGTACATATCTTATCAAAACAGATACAACCACACTGACTCAATTTGCACAAAACATCACCTGATCTCCAACTGCCCCTTGCCATAGACCAACCCACCTTCTAAAAATGTCAGTCAGAAGTGAGTATGAGGTTGCTCGTTCTAGTCCCCATTTGTCCACATCATAAAAACCTTCATGCAAATAGACAATCTCCATTCAGGAGAGGCTTAGGACTGGACTAGTTGAAGAACTTGAAGTACATTAACAGATCTATATAGGGAAGCTTGCAAAGCAGCTATATGTTATTAGTCCTGGCCTTTCATGGAGGCTCATCCTATAAGTTGTTGAGCACCTCCGACTCACAACGACTCAGCATCTTGTAGGATTGGGCCCAGGAGCATTACATTCTCTCACAAATTAAAGATCAATTAAAAACAGAAAAGAAAAGCAACAATTTATTTTCCTCTGTTTCTATTTATTTTTAGACAGGACTTTTTCTAAGACAGTTCCACAAAAAGAGACTCTTTGAATTAGGAGGCAATTACTTAATTAGGTACTTAATTGCACATTACAATATACTAACAGCCTTTCCAATCTATTCTGTAATTACAAAATTGGGTCCTATGCTATCCATAAAATCAAAATATCCACATTTGTGAAGAAAATTTACCAGGCATGTGCAGCCAAACAAGTTTTAAGCTAAAGTGTCTTGGCTTTTTTTGTTGTTGTTAATGTGGTTTCCTTTTCTTGGAAATGAAATCAATTTTAAAAAAATCCAAACCATTTCTGAGTTATACAATCAAATGAAAAAGACTGAAATCTGGGCCCTTGTTATTATTTTAGATTCCAAGAGGTCAGATTCATTTTTGAAAACATGTTAACAGCACATGCCCTGGAATGAGACTCTGCATTTGTAATGTTTCAGCTTGGTGCATGTTTTAATTTATTGAGTTTGAGCAGTTGCAATTCCCCCTACCCTCCATTCTCCTTAGCTATTACTATACTTGGTATGCTTCATTCCCTTCTCGCTTACATCAGCGTAACCCTACTGGAGTTACATCTGATTTTACACTCATATGAGAGGAGAATCAGGCCTATTATCTTAATAAAACACGATGTGTCTGAAACATATCAAGAGAACATACAACGTGGGCCAGATTCTGCTGTCTGTTACAACTGCACAACCCTACTGATTTCTTTGGGGCATCCAGCAACTTGAGGCTGCAATGACATTAGATTTAGACTCCCTGAACAGTTATTGGGTGAAATACATTTCAGTCCAGAGGGCCATAACAAAACTTACATCCCATGTAGGTGCTGTATTAAGTGGGACATAAGGGGCACAGAGAGGTTTGTGTAAGCTCCCTGAACTAGACTGAATGTCATCTATGTTCCTTATGGCTCTTTAGTTTTTTTAATAGATTTTATCCGAAATTTTCAAATTTAAACATAAGAGCTCTTTTAAAAAGAGAGATGGCAGCAACACTGCCTTAAAAGTAGCAGCAAGAACCCCTGGGTCTTGCACTGACTCACTTTTTGGCTTAGGGCAAGTACATTGGAGATGTTGTCAAGGAGTGGGAGCTCTCAAACTTTGATTTTGTTAATTAAAATAGCCGATGGTAGGTGATTGGTGGGAGGCGCTCTTATAAATGATGACAGAGTTTTATACTGCAACCAAGGGGGAAAAGCCAGTAACAGAAGAAATGTTCTGAACAGAAGAAATGTTTGATTTGTAATAACCCAGCAAAGAAATCTTTAAAAGTATGCACCATGATATTCTATTCGATCTAGGTTCTTATACCAGGGTGATCACCACAGCATCTGAGCACCTTATGGTCACATCATGCATTTGAAATGAAATTAAGAGCCCAATCCTACACTTGGGCTAAAACATACCCTGTAATCACACAACTATTGCTGAAGCAAGAAGTTCCACTGAATACTAGTTCAGGGGGCATGTCTACATCAGGTATAAAGAGTGTATTTTCAAAACACATTCAACAGGGCAAGTTATATTTTAACATGCGTTAGCTGGTCAAAGTGAACCATAGGGTCAGGGGAAGCGTAGGCTACAACATGTTAATGTGTTAAAATACTACCTATTATCAAAACATTTTGTTCTGACTAGATTGTTTAAACTTTTACATTGTATTATTGAATATAATATAAAAATCAAAATGATAAAGTTGGAACATTTTGACCAAATCAAAACAAACATTTTCCTAAAGCTGAAATATTTCAGAATATTTTGTTTCATGACAAATTTCAAGATTTCTACTCTCTGTCTCAGTCTGGGATGAAACAAAATGTTGAAATACTGAACTTTCCCATGGGACAGAATTCCGTTTTCAACCAGCCCTACATGTTATCTAATACATTCTAAAACAGCACCTCTTATCATACTGTTGGCAAACCCAGTAAGGTTTGTAGGTTCAGACCCTAAAGCATCATCTAAATTTCCTAGTGTAGACACAGCCAAAAAAGGCAATCAAACACTTGGGGATTAACGTACTCAGAGGCTAGGTGGGCTGGTGCCAGAATTAGAATATGCGTCCCACCTATCGCCCCTCCGCAGTTAGGGAAACCCATTTGTGCAAAGCCAGCCACAATGTCATGCACATTACCCAGAGTCATGGTTCTTTTGAGCAGGATGCGATTTATGGCCCTGCAAACTTGCATCAATGATTCCAACGGTTGACTTTCATACTCCAGACTGGTTAGCAACCAATCGGCAGCTGTCTGGAGTTTCCAGCTTCCAGATTGCAATAGCCATCTGCTTCTCCACCGGCAGGGCAGCTCTCAATCTTGTGTCCTTGCGCTGCAAGGTGGGGGCAAGCTCATCACAGAGTCCCATGAAAGTGGCTTTTCTCATCCAAAAGTTCTGCAACCACTGCTCATCATCCCAGACTTGCATGACGATGTGATCCCACCACTCAGTGCTTGTTTCCCGAGCCCAAAAGTGGCGTTCCACTGCGGTAAGCATGTCCGTGAATGCCACAAGCAATCTTGTGTCGTATGTATTATGCAACCGACATCATCATCGGACTCCTCACTGTCAGTTTGTAGCTTAAGGAGTAACTCAACTGCCATTCATGATGTGCTGGCGAGTCCCATCAGCATATTCCTCAGCACTTTGGGATCCATTCCTGCAGACTGAAAGGGAAGACAGCGCGCGCAGTACAAAAAACATTGAAAGATGGTGCCAAATGTGGACGGAAGCACAGGGATTGCTGGGATGCAAAGCGATGCATCACGGGGCATTGGGACAGGACCCAGAATGTCCTGCCCCCTTCCCACAAGCCACAGTGCCAGAATGGGAAGAGGTGCTCTGTGGGATAGCTGCCCATAATGCACCACTCCCAATGCTGCTGCAAGTACCACAAATGTGGCACGCCAGCAGGGCCACCCAGAGGATTCAGGGGGTCTGGGGTCTTTGGTAGCGGGGGTCCCTCCGCTCTGGGTCTCCGACACACTTCACTGAAGAAATGGAGCGGAAGGACCCCTGCTGCCAAATTGCTGCCGAAGACCCGGAGCGGAAGAAGCAGTGGCGGGTCTTTGGTGGCAGGTCCTTCACTCCGGGTGTGTTCAGCGGTCCTGAAGGACCTGCCGCAAAAGTGCTGCTGAAAACTCTCGTGGGGGGTCCTGAAAACTCTCGAGGGGACCCCTGCGGGGCCCGGGGCAAATTGCCCCACTTGCCCCCCCCACCCCGGGCGGCCCTGCACGCCAGTGCGCTTGCAGCTGACAGTGTGAACCCACTGCAGCGCTTTCCCTACTGCGCCCTCCAAGGGCTGCTTTAACTCACACTGCTCTACATCTGCAAGTGTAGCCATGCCCTCAGTTTTTCTGAGTGCTCCCTGAAACTAACCTCTCAAGCCTTGCCTTTGCTAAAAATAGATTTAAAAGATTTTTTAAATATATTATAATCCTAGGGTAGACAAGCAAATTATAATTTTAGTATGTTATCAGGATGAGGTAAACTTTAGGCTCCTTCCTGAGGTTTACCTCTGCTACTTAATGTACTAAAACCCCAACTTACATTGTCTACATTAGGATTTTAACATGTTAAAAATACAACCTTTTCCCCCAATGCAGACATGTTCAAAGGTGGTATTAAAGTACCTATTGAGACACCAAACACCATTTTTATTTTTCAGATTTGGACTTAAACACTCCCTTACAGTATTTGCAATCGAAACACTGCCGCATAGGAGCAGCCCACGCAAACCACATGAAAGCAAAAAAAGTTACTGTAAACACCTGAAACTGACTCTAGTCTAGTCTCTAGTCTGCAAAATGTGAACAAATGTAAATGGTTGAAAGTCATATTTTTAAATTTTCTCTTGATGTTAATAACGTAAAGTATAATTTGTAGAAGAGGTAATGACTTATTTTTCAGCATAGATTTTTAACCCAAATATCCCTATATTTTCCCTATATATAGGGCTTGAAAAAATGTTCCTGATACCTATTAGGTCAAGAATTAAGCCTTATCATCAGGCTGAAATACAACCATTCAGAGCCATGCACCTCCCAAGCTACACTCCCTTATCCTCTGTCTACTGATGGTCAGTCCACTGCTTGGGCCTCAAGACCCTGGGCTTCCAATTACTGCTGCTCACCACCCCCCATACCAAATAAGTTACCACCTGGAGAGTCCTCCAATCAATTTGTGTTAGCCCCCAAATACAGAGTCCTCTTCTGGGGTGAGAAGTAGGAGCTGATGTTTCTCTTCTCCTGGACTGACCCCCATCCTGTCCTAAAACAGGAAGAAGCTGCTGAAGAGCAGTGAAGCCACATCCATCCTGAAGACCAGCGGTAACAGGTCCCCTGCCAACATTACCCCACCAAACAGCGGGCTCTTGGGTGGTCAGATCTCCTACCAGGCCAGCAGAGAAGGTTCCATAGAGGGAGTTCACACTCATATCTTGCAAAACTCTCTGCTGGAGTGGTGTTAGGGTTGCCAACCCTCCAGGATTGTCCTGGAGGCTCCAGAAATTAAAGATTTATCTTTAACTAAAGATTATGTCAAGTGATGAAATCTCCAGAAATACATCCAACCAAAATTGGCAACCCTAAGTGGTGTTAGGACCGGCCTCCACTCTAGCCGAAATCCCCTGCTGGGTGGCAGCAGGAGCCAACCCCCACTAATGGAATACGACCATCAACTGCCTCCCCCTCAGCATGCAGAGACCTCTTTTGGGGTAGTAGGGTTCATGCTCCAGCTAGTGACACACCTCCCAAAGGCTCTCTGCTCAAATGGGTGCACAGCACATCCAAGACACCCTGCTCCTAACTGTACCACTAGAGCTGTCTCCCTGCAGATTTGTTGCACTGTAATTGGTATAAACTACAACTGGAACAGGTACTGGAAAAGCATGCCCACACAGGGAGTAAAAGTGGTGTCATTATGTTGGTAGGTTTCCCTGTGTAGACGTTAAGCCCTTAGGAAGACAGCACCACATTAGTGATTCTCCATACAGGGTTATTTGGGCAAAGTAAGGGCTAGTTGTGTGGTGTTTGTTTTTCAAATGAAAGCTTAAATTCTGTAGACGTTAATGGCATTTTCCAAGGAAAATCCTACTTGGATATTTTTCAACACCTCTGTCTTAATATGAACTAAAGATTTTTTTTTACAAAGCGATTGATGCCCTAAAGGTGAATGATACTTCTCTCCCAAAAGAGAAGAGCATGCTTTGAAACTGAAGTAGTCCAGACAGAGACTGATCTCAAAACTGTCTGTGCTACAACTCTTTCAAACGATTCACTAATGAGCATAGTGCAGTTTGCATACTCAGCGGCGCTGCATGCTTAGGATTCCCCACTCTCCCGGCTTCGCACAGGAGGCCCACAGAAGTTTGCATTTCAATCCCCCGCCGCGTGCATGGCTGGAGTTAGCGAGTGTGGAACACTCCACTCCCCACAACTATACGTGAGCAAACCAGTGGAGTTCACAATTTTCCCCACCGCAGGCGTTACATTCACCCGTTCTCCGCCGGCGTGGCAGGGCCGGGGATCCCCCGGGGGGTTTCACCCCCATTCCCCTAGGGACTTGCAGGGCCGGGGATCCCCGGGGGTTTCACCCCCATTCCCCTAGGGAGTTGCAGGGCCGGGGATCCCCGGGGGTTCACCCCCATTCCCCTCGGGGGTAGCAGGGCCAGCGGGTCACAGGGGGTTCACCCCCATTCCCTTAGGGAGTAGCAAGGCCGGGGATCACAGGGGGCTCACCCCCAGTCCCCTCGGGGGTAGCAGGCCAGGGATCACAGGGGGTTCATCCCCATTCCCCTAGGAAATTGCAGGGCCAGGGATCACAGGGGGTTCACTCCCATTCCCCTCGGGAGTAGCAAGGCCGGGGATCACAGGGGGTTCACCCCCATTCCCTAGGAAATTGCAGGGCCAGGGATCACAGGGGGTTCATCCCCATTCCCCTAGGAAATTGCAGGGCCAGGGATCACAGGGGGTTCATCCCCATTCCCCTAGGAAATTGCAGGGCCAGGGATCACAGGGGGTTCACCCCCATTCCCCTAGGGAGTAGAAGGCGGGATCACAGGGGTTCACCCCCATTCCCCTAGAAATTAGCCAGGAACGGGTTCACCCCCATTCCCCTAGGGAGTAGCAAGGCCGGGGATCACAGGGGGTTCACCCCCATTCCCCTAGGGAGTAGCAAGGCCGGGGATCACAGGGGGTTCACCCCCATTCCCCTCGGGGGTAGCAGGGCCAGGGGTCACAGGGGGCTCACCCCCATTCCCCTCGGGGGTTAGAGGCCTCCCTCGTCCCGGGCTCTCTCCCTCACTCTCCCGCTCTGGCGCCCTGAGTCTCGGCTCCTCTCTGCTCTTCCCTCCCCTTAAAGGGAGGTAGCTGCAGTTAAAGGCCTCTGGCCCCAGTGGGACGCGGAGCCCGGGGAGGGGGGGATGTAGGGCCCGATAGGGGGCGGTGTGGGGGAGGGGGTTAACCCGCGTGCGGCGCGGAGCAGTGCGTGGGGGAGGGGGGTTAACCCCGCGACTCGTGCCGCGCGGGGCCCGTGGGGGGGGGCAGGGCCCGGCGGGAGGTACTGCATGTGTGAGGAGGGGCTAACCCCCCCTGCCCGTGAGGCGCGGAGCCCGTGGGGGGGGGGGGGGGCAGGGCCCGGCGGGAGGTACTGCATGTGTGAGGAGGGGCTAACCCCCCCTGCCCGTGAGGCGCGGAGCCCGTGGGGGGGGGGGGGGGCCCGGCGGGAGGTACTGCATGTGTGAGGAGGGGCTAACCCCCCCTGCCCGTGAGGCGCGGAGCCCGTGGGGGGGGGGGCAGGGCCCGGCGGGAGGTACTGCATGTGTGAGGAGGGGCTAACCCCCCCTGCCCGTGAGGCGCGGAGCCCGTGGGGGCCCCGGGGTTCTGTGTGAGGAGGGGCTAACCCCCCTGCCCGTGAGGCGCGGGGCCCGTGGGGGGGGCGGGCCGGCGGGAGGTACTGCATGTGTGAGGAGGGGCTAACCCCCTGCCCGTGAGGCCGAGCCCGTGGGGGGGGGCGGGGCGGGAGGTACTGCATGTGTGAGGAGGGGCTAACCCCTGCCCGTGAGCCGGACCCGTGGGGCCCGCGGGAGTACTGCATGTGTGAGGAGGGGCTAACCCCCCCTGCCCGTGAGGCGCGGAGCCCGTGGGGGGGGGGGCAGGGCCCGGCGGGAGGTACTGCATGTGTGAGGAGGGGCTAACCCCCCCTGCCCGTGAGGCGCGGAGCCCGTGGGGGGGGGCAGGGCCGGGCCCGGTGTGTGCGGGCGCGGAGGGGTTTAACCCCCGGTGCATGGGGCGCGGAGCCAGGAGAGGGATCGTGGTGGGGGGGGCGGGTGTCATCCCCCGCGCCCGGCGGCGGCGGCGGCGACATTTTCATTCAGGCGGCGCTGAGGGAGCCCGGCGCGCCCGGTGCATTGTGGGACTGGGTTGGGAGTCCCGTTCGCGGGAGGAGGCGGAGGGAGGGCGAGGAGCGAGCCGGTAAGAGGGAGACCTGGGGAGGGGGGGGCAAGCGGGGAGATTTAAAGGGGAATCCGCCTCCGCCGTTAAACACCCGGCCCTGCACTGGGAGCGGGCTCCCCGCGCTGCGCTGGCCGGCCGGGGCGCACGGGGCATGCCTGGCCCCAGCCCCTGAGCCCGGCCGCGGGGGGGGCGGGGGAAGGGGATGCGAGGCGCCGCCGGGGCCGCTTTAAAAAAGTCTCGGCGCCGAGGCCGGCAGGCGATGGGTTAAATTTTTCACCCGCCGACATTTTTGCTGCCGCTGGGGCCCCGCGCCGTGGAGTCCCCTGGCCGGGGAGCCTGGCGCGCGCCGCGCCCGGGGAACGTTCCATCCCCTCCGCGCCCTCCCCGGGGCTGCGGCGGCAATGGGGGGCGGCTGCGCCTCTTCGCCTTTAAACGCTGCCCCTGCAGTTCTGCTTCCAGCGAAGGGTTAACTCTGCTTCTGCTGACATTTTACCTGCCTCCCCCCTTCTCCCCGCACTTTTGCTGCTAATAATTTTTCGTGTGTAAGGGAGATCGTTCTCTCCCCCCACCCCTTGCAACGCTCTGTTAGTAGGAGCCTCCTTTGGGGGGATAGAAGGGGATTTCTGTGTGCACGGTTCTTTCCTGTGCACAGCCAGCTAAGGCTCCCACACGGCTGCACAAAGAGCAGCAGTAGAGGCCCTTGCTTGCCTTTAAAGGCAGCAGCTTGAAATTTAAGGTGTCCCAGAGCCATGTCTCTCCACAGCCCTCTGCGCTACACTCCATGGAGAAATGCTTGTTGCAGTTCTTCGCCTTGTAGATGCCCCTCACTTGTGTTGCTATTCCCTGTCCTTGGGTTTATTTTGGGTAGGTATCTGGTCCTGTTCTGCCGTCATTTTTTTCCTTGCACCCTCCAACGTACATTTTTATTTAAGGTCAGGGTTGTAGAGTGGCAAGGGTTAAACTCTATCTTTTAATATTTGTCATTGTTTTAAAGTAACAAACATCTGGAGTATGGGGGGGATTTGTTCTAATGGGGAGGGTTGTTTATTTTACAAATACACTGAATGCTAGAAATGCATGTTTGTGCAGGGTGCCAAAAGTCACATGAAATTGGATCTTGTAAGGTTGCTTCCATGGCAGTGTACGAAATTATTGCACGCAGAACATTCAGATCTTCATCAAAGTCTTTTGTGCTCCTTTCCATATTGAGGTTTTTAACTAAATAACTTTGTCACTTGTCTAGTCCAACGTTTATTTTTAAAATCAGGGAATATATATCAGTGCGTGTATTCGTGCTCAAGACTATGCAAAAAGTTCTGCTTGTTGCCTTTGGCCTCTAAATCCTTTCCTATAGAAGTGGATAGGGGGTGCTAAGAATACACCAGTGTTCTGGTAAGTGAAGGGAAATGTTTCCCCACTTGGAAAACGTTATTTTTTTACAATTTTTCTGGAAAATATAAAATAATATTTTTCCATTAAAAGCCAGTTTTTTCTCCTACTTCTCTCGACAGGTTGTTTTCTAGTTAGTATCCTCTCTGATTGCTAGTCCTTGTTGTCTTGCATTGAAGACAAAAGTTACAACCCAAATGCATTGCTCATCCAAGACACGTTCTTGTAATGAGAGCTTGGATTATTGCCCAAGCTTGGGTTTTTGAAGATTTGTTTTAAATAAGTGACACGCCTCCCAGGGAAGGAGGGAAAACACTGTAAAGAGGAGTTCAGTTCCTAATCAGAAATTTTCAGGGACTTTAAAACTTGAATTGCCATTCTATACCATAGTCAATAAAATAACCTCCCTGAGAGTTTGTAGAACTTTTTAGGAAGCAGCCTTCTGATAAGCTGTATACTGGGGGACCCAGTTGCATAAGGCTGTAGATGATTTTTTTTTTTTTTGAATGGTACCAAACGAACTGAATAGAGGCCAGTAGTGGTGTTGAACTTTTCAGCTGAACCCAGTAACAACATGATCAGCAGTCAGTCAGTACTGCCTGTTGAACCCTTTCGATAGGCATGACATTTGCTTTCTAAGACACTACTGTATGTAGGTCACTTTAAATAATTCCAGGAAAGGTTTTTCTCCAAGAAAGATAAATGGCATCATATCCCCACCATTCTGATGTAAAAGTTAAACGCTTCAGTTTGGCCTCTTATTAGTTTTGGAGTGTGTTGTATGTCTGACTCAGAGTGGAAAAAGAGTTCTAAAATTAGATGTGCATTGTTAAGAATTTTATTAAATGAATTTCATCAGTCTCTTTTTACATTAACTTTCTAATGGGCGGTTTACTCTGATTACATATGTTCAGTTCCAAAAAAAGTCCTGAGAGGCATGAACTCTGTTTCTATTGAACAGCTTTCGGGTATGAACATCATAAAATATGCTTTTAGAGGAAATATCCTGATTAAATGTTTTCCCTTCGTAATGCTTTATATTACGAGCACATAGGTCTTCTAGGGAAAATATACTGCTGGTGTGAACAGGTGTATTTCTGCTGACTCTAAATGAGTTGTGCCCTCTTATACCAGAACTGAGCTTGAAATAAAGAGGCTATTGCCTAAGGTTCTGATCTTGCAATGAGCTTAAGCTTTGTCTACACTACACACCTTTTGTAGCTGCTGTTTGTCGGCAGGAGAGAGCTCTTCTCCCAACAAGCGGCGGTAGCTTTATCCTGTCGACAAAGCAGTGTTCACACTGGCGCTTTTCGTCTGTAAAACTTTTGTCGTTTGGGCTTTGTTCGTTTTTTGTTTTTTTAACACCCCAAACGACAAAAATTTTGCTGACAAAGTTCCATTGTATACAAAGCCTTAGTGTACAAAGACCCCTATGCCTGAGCATGTTGCAGGATCAGGGCCTAAGGCTCCTCTTAGGGATTGTTCCCAGTAACTAAAACTGTAACGCTTATTTCTCTCTCTCTCTCTCTCTCTCTGTTAAATGGGGTCTGTAGACTTTTTTTTTTTTTTTTTTTTAATTAAACACTGGTGTGGCATAACTGTAGGGGAAAAGTCATATAATTCCTCTGACTGGCCTGACAATGTTACAGTTTAAATGTCAGAAGATGGAAGAGGAACCATTCCCTTGTAGCCTCAGGAAGCTTATCTGTGGGATATACCCTCCTATTGTAACAGATGATGTCTGCTTGATGTTTTGCTTTGCCTTTTTTTTTTTTTTTTAAATAAGTAAAGTGGAGGGGGGGGAACAACAAAAAGATCCCTCCCAAAAACCTCTACATTAATATTTTGATATTATTTACAGTACATACACTAACTTGTTGTCTTGTAGGTTCTAAGAATTTTCTAATGTTCTCAATTTTTCTAACTAGGTTGATCAGCAGAGAAACCAACAAATACGCTTGCTCAAGGTGGGGGGGGAGGTAGCATTCAGAACCATGTCTGTTCGGGAGTCCTTTAATCCAGAAACTTATGAACTGGACAAGAGCTTCCGTCTGACTCGATTCACTGAACTTAAAGGCACAGGCTGTAAAGTGCCTCAGGATGTTTTACAGAAACTGCTTGAGTCCCTACAAGAAAACCATTTTCAAGAAGATGAACAGTTTCTGGGAGCAGTTATGCCCAGGTTGGGTGAGTATTTGTTTCTCTAGTAACAAGCGATACTGCTATTTCCCTGTTTCATAAACAGTAGATCAAGTTAGCTGTTAGCCTATTAGTTTATTTTAATTTAAAATTAAGGTGTTGTCCGATGCATATACATTAACAAGATAGAGATTGTGTCCAGAAATGCGAGGGATAAACCTGCAGTTGTCATCTTGCTGTACAAGAAAAATAATTTTGTACTGCAATTATTCATATCCTTTCTGCAAAGCACTTAACTATGAAGGGGAAAAAAGGAGCAATGAAATGACTCTAAAAGTAGAGAGAGCTTATAATATGAGAAGAACAATAGTCTTTTTCACTAATAGATTCTGTACATGAATTATGTGGAAGTTCAGTAACCAAAATAGTAACAATTGATTTCTAAAAACAACTGTATCCATTTTAGTAAATTTCCTTGGTGAATGCAAAATAGATAATTCTGAAACAGTACTATGACTATAGTTGTGGATTTTCCCCCTAAAATATTGAACAGTTTATTTTCTGACTCAAAGTGAAACTGAGAATTGATTGTAAATAATTATCCAGTTCCCAAATTTAGCCTGCCTTCATTTCTAAATTGA